TGTAAGAAAACAAGTCAGGTTCCAAATATTCCTAATTACTGCTTTAGTTGACTAAAGGCCACAGATCTATCTATTTCTTCTGGATTAATCAGCAAGACATGAAAGGACTTATTTTCATGAGAAGCAAAGTAAATTAAGTTTATATAATTATACATCAAAATAAAACACACACAACACAGAACAGTTGGGCCACCCATCCTTCAAGACCTTGTCCAACATCTATTCCTCCCTGAGATCCTTCCTTATCCCCATGCCCACTCTACCCCACAACCCAGAATTGATTCTCCTCTGAAATCCTCCTAGAGCGATTTCTAGGCTTCTCTCTTACAACATTTATCATTTTTTATCTTCTACTTTATTTATATACATCCCCTTTGTCCCCCACTTGAATGTAAGCTCCTCTAAAGTAGGCTGGTTTGCCCAGAGTAGCAGCTCAACAAACACTAGTTGAAAGAGCTAAGCTTTCTCTTTGACCCTCCACCATACACATACCTACTACACACATGCTTTCATAGCAACCACCAGACAACAACTAGCTCTAAAGTCCACCCAGCCCCATCCTGGGGGAATTATGAGTCAAAGACCAAACAGCTGAACAGAATCCTTTTTATTGAAGAAAATAGTCATCTGTTTCCCTTCAACACAATTTAATTAAGTAAAACTCATTTTTGCAGGAATTTGCAAACATGCACAAGGCATCATGAATCTGATCAGCACAATGAAGTTGTTCTAATAGCAAAAGTTCTTCTGAAGAGAAGTTACACATATGAGCTGAACTTTCTTGCTTACTATCAATTCTCCTCCATGCCAGCCACCCTTAACCCCTTTAAAGCTGAAGGACACTACCTTTAAACAAGGCTAGGACAAGTTTGCCCCTTTCTGACTGCTATTCCCAAACCCCCATGCCTTGGAGTAACTCCCATCCTTGCAGCCGAAAGAAGGTCCCAAAGCTGGGTTCTCTATCCAGATAATCTGTTGCCTGAGCAAATGTACTTTCTCAGTTATTAACTCTGTCAGCTCCCAGTAACAAGAGGAGAAACTTCAAGTGTTCACAGTTGCTCTTGGAAGACAATTTCACTAGTTCTGTTCAGATCCCAGTTGGTTAAGGCGCTTTATGATCATGCTGTTGATTTTCTTAAGATCATCTATGTCCTTTCCCTCAGCGGCCAATCTTCTTGACATATCGTCCATCTTGTTTCCAGTTTGAACTTCAAAATAGAAAACAGACTAAGTTACAGTTATTTCCAGTGTGTTCTGTCAGGATTCTTCAGAGCCCTGCACTGGTGCTCAGCTGAATGCTGAAAGACACTACAGGCAAATCCCTGGGCCGATATCCCACACAGCCCAGAAGCCCAGGAGAGAAATTGCTGAAGACTGAAGTTACCTACCAAGTGGATAACTTTTACCACCTCTCGGTGCCAATCAAGACTACCTTTGGCCACTCCACGCTGATTGTGGAGGAGAAAGACATGGCTGTGAGCAACG